CCTCAAGCTCCTCCGCCTTCACAGGAAAGTCAGGATGAGCTCATCCAGCATTGCTAAAATACCAAATACTGAATCAGAAAGGATGCGGGGTGAAGGCACCACAATGAGTACCTAATCTCAAGAGTTCACATGCTAGAACAACTGAACCATCTCGCCAATCGCATGGTCTAGGGGCCGGGCTAAGCGGACTAGAAATTAGTGCTCCGATTTAACAATCTGGAGGAAATCTGGCGCCCTGTGAGCAACGGGTCAAGAAAATGCAGGCAGGGGATGGTCCCAGTGTAAAGGGTAGCTTCTAGGAAAATGTCGAGCTTCAAGTCAGAACGCTGGGCCGAACATTTTGGAGTGCTAGTTGTTCATTTCACCATGCTTCAGAATTGGACCTTAGGTTTGTGGTTGGATACTTCCTGAACTCACATTCTGCTCAGATTGCCGCCAAAAAGGTTGCGCCTGGCAATGCTTTAATACAAAATCATGCTTTGATTATCAAGTTGTTCCTGCCCTGCTTGGGATGTTTGATTACGCTCTGGACGCATCTGTAGAAAGCATTCAGCATACGACTTGCAGCTCCCTCTCACTCCTCCTTTCTGCTCTCCTTCTTCACCTCTATGGGTGCCAGCTCCTCCCACTTCTCAGCTTGCTCAGCTTCGCCCTGACAAGGCGATGCAAATGGATCCCATGGCTTTCAGCGCAGTCGATGTGCAAACCACCGGGGTGGCTCTGATTGCTCGCTCGGAGGCCAATATGGTTTGGCAAGACTCTTGTTCACTTGCTACTATAGACTATGGTGATAGTGGTATTCATGTTTCTCCTACGTGGAGTATTTCATTGCTCCCTGGGCGTAACTGAGGCTCGATGCAACGAGTGCATCATTCTTCACCGAAGGAAGCACTGTTTCCTGAAATCACTTTCGGTTGCCCTGCTCTCCTTTTTCCTCTTCTGCTTACGCTTTTGCGGCGCTGCCAGCTCTTCAGCCTCCTTCTCAGCTTGCTGAACCCGGGCCTGGATGGACATAGCTGCATCGCAAATGACCGCAGGAAAACACATGCTCCATCGCAAATGGTTACGTTATGTTACGTTTATGGTACATCAAGACTGCACAGCTGCATGGCAAACCTACTCATCCAACACCAGGGGGTGGGGGGGGAACCAGTGGGCTGTTCCATGAACTGCCCAAACGCCCGACGTTCGCTTCCCCCTTGGCCGACACACCAGCTCTCCTGTTTCCCTTTCTTACACTTTTGGAGTTGCTCTTCAGCCTCCTTCAGATTCTCAACCTCGGCCTCACAAGGACATGACAAGTCAACTTGACCAGGACGCCGGTCCATGCATGTGGGGTCAGTCCAGTACATCAGCCGATCAGTTTTGACCGGTATAGTGGTGACGCGACACCAGCCGTCACAGCCGTTGGCTCAGCAGTTGGCCATGAATGTCAGAGTAACTATATAGATGGCACAAGTTGCAAGTCGGGTGAGCCAATTCCTGTGGTTTCTGTCATGTTTCGGGTGGCACCCCATCTCGAAGACAAAAAAGGGTTGGTGCTCTTAGCTTGATAAACCCCTGACTTCAACCTCGCTCCGTGGCTTGCCACCTGAACACGCGCCGAACAAAAAGCCGCCCCTGCGCCGTGCAAAAGGCGCCTCCTCACGCTCTTCCTGCGCCTCGGCGATGGCCGGGTCGCCACTCGGAGGGCGAAACTCACGCCACATCCGTTCCGGATGGATGGAACCCGCCGAACATCCGCAGCATCGTGGTAACAAGAAACATAAATTTTATCCCAAAACACGACTGCCATGGGACTGCCATAGGACTGCCGAGAAACGGCCAGGGGTGGTTGGCTGGGGGTCTTTCTGGGGCGGCATATACAGTATATATGGCAGTCCCATGAGTCATGTCTGGGATAGCTTTCTGAATAACTCCTTGAATTGGACATCCAGCCTATCATATGGGAGGTTGATTCATCAAGAAGTCTACCGGACGACCCCACACTACCTATATAGGCTTCCAGACAGGGCACCCCGACAGGAGGGTCCTGGTACATGGATCTCTGAGCCCCTTTTTGGTGGGTGCCTTTCCAGTTTCGGCCAAAGGGTCACCGGGAACCCTCCCACCTCCCACACCCCCGGCTCGTCGTTTGTTTCGGCTCGCTCCTTCGCCCGGTGGGGCCGCGCCATCCGATGGTCGCCATTGGCACGACGATCCTTTGGGCCAATGGGCTGCGGAGAAGCTGAGAAGGGCGGCGCGGTGAGTCTCAGCACAGTGATTCCGTGGAAGAGGCCAGGGCGCCGCGTGTGAATCTCAGGAGGTTCTGAACTTGGAGATTCTCCGGGCCACTTAGGCGAAAACGACGAGCTGGATGGGTGTCACAGTGTGTGAAGTCCCTTTTTTTTGAGCAAGAGAGTCATTTGGTGCCATGGAACGTTTTTACACCACTTGGTATGTACCAGCTGCTTCCAAAAGGGGCCAATGGATAATCCTCCACACTACTTAATAAGGTAACCCCTTCAGAACTTAGGTAGTATACGTATGTGCGTTTTCTTCAGTGGTTGGCAACCCGTTTTCGAGGCGGAACATGGACGGACCACGGACCGCTCCAACGGGCCGTCTCTCAGGCCTTGGACAATGAAAGCCTCCAAGCAACCCACCAAACTAAGCCTCCGGCTGGTTGCATTGGCTGGTTGCGTGGGACTAAGTCTGTATGTGACTATACTAATATAACATATACTTTGTGAGATAACAAATAAGCACGCATCAGATTGCACAGTGCTTCTGACTCGTGGCGTTGAAAAAAAGCAAAACGCCATCCACTTCTGCGAAGGAAAACAGGCCTAGGAAGGCCAGGAAAACGGCATAAGCTCCTCCGATGAAGCACACCTGTGATGCAAGGAGCCGAAGGGCAACTATTCTAATTATGGTTTTAACAACTGACGATTTTCAAAAGCGATCATTGAACATCTAAAACGATTGGATGACAGGTTCCAAATCAGCTTTCATCATCAGGGCGTCTCTAATGTCATAACGGTCTCCCGTCACGCAATCAGGCGGGAGAGGATGTGCCTTTCCAATCTCAAGTTTGATGTATAGTGATGTGGTGAAGTGAAGCTTGGTGTCACGGGAGCATGTGGGCAGTGTGCTGAGGTGTGCGGTGATGCGGTGATGCATGTGTTTCAATCAGTTTTTATGTTTGCGCATTTCTCTGTCAAACTCTATCGAGTTGGTCTCTTCTTTGCTGCCCCCAAACCCTTACTCTGGCATTTTCCCCTGGAAACCTTTGCTTCAATTGTTTGAAACTTTCCTCTTTCACTCTAGCGTTCTAGGAACTTCAATTTGTCTTCACGTTTCTTTTCTCCGGTTTTCTCTTGTTCCTTGTGCCCGCCCTTCCCTAACATAGGCACATCATGTATTTGTTGGGCACGGCTCTCTGAAAATCTCTACTTGATATTGATAAAATTTTAACTGGAGTTTCTTGTGGCAATTCCTAGAGGCCGTGGCGTTTCTGTGCCTTACTGTTTTTTGCACTTTTTCCTTGAACATGTTTGATTTTCTTCTGTTGGCATTGTCCATCGCTACCTTACACTGCCCTCCCCAACTGGAACTCGCCCAACAAACCTGCGACAAACCATGCAACCGTGCTGTTTTTTTTCGGGCGCGCATGGCATCTGTGCGGCCTTGTAAGCCCTCTAAACTCCAAGAGAAGAGGACAGAAACATCGAAACCAAGAAAAGAAAAGCATAGAACAGCAGGTCTAAACATGTCCGACCAAGCGAATACAAAGGAAAACGTACTGAATTTGAGTGATGCCAACCCTCAGGTGCGGATGAAGGCAAAGCACATGTATTGATAGACTGTGCTGGCAAACGCTGACATGTGCACTAGCACAATGTTCGGACATTTTTACTGGCATCAAGTCTGGTATGTGACGTTCTGACGCATCATCTAGCATAAAGGGCCGGGGAATGCTCTGGAATGTAATGTGTTCTGACATCCTTTCTGGCATGTGTCAACTGGCATGTGTTCTCACATAACATCAAGTAACGCAACACGCAATGCAACCCGACTACCGGCGCTCTGCACAACCCAATGGCAGGATTGCTTTTTGTTGCCATCCTCACCCGAAAATGAACACAGCAGCCAATCCCTTAAGCATTTGTGCAAAGTCAGAGGCATGCTGATTCCGGACACCTGTGATAAGTCATTCTGCATGCAACTTGCTTTCAACGTGCATGGAGGGTTTGGGGAGGTTACATAGAAACATATAGACCACAAACATGTATGTTTGGAGCTTGTTCTCGCGTTGCAGCACCGCAGGCACTAGCACCAACAACGAAGATTGAAGGCCCGCGCTTGCCCACTTGTCAAATGTATGCTCACTAGTCGCTCTACAAATTAAAAAACATCGAACAAACCATACAAAATCACCTGCTACCACCTCATTCTTATCGTTTGTCCCTGCTACCACCTTCCAAGTACTTGAGTCCACATCCCTTGACAGCGCCATACTTGCGATACTAGTCTGGATTCATTCTACCAGCCTGCGCATGTTACATCATGTTCCATCCCAACCTGGCGTAGAAGGCTGCTCGAAGCCATGAGCCCGCCCAACAGGATGCCCCTGTAGTTGGCCGCCGTCGGCTTTTCCGTGCTTGACTAGTGACTAGTAGTTGTCTGACTAGTTATCTGTTGAGCTGCTGAGTAGCTAACTGCACTGCTGACAAATGCTGACGAACGTCAGACAAACAACCTGGAAGTCGCCTACTGTAACTGCCATGCAGTCGCTCCGAAACCTGGAAACTGAGTGATTTGATGTTGTGAGCCTTGGAAAAAGCTCACAACACATTGTCAGCCTTTCGCCTGTGCGTTTTGCGGCTAGGACTTTCGACATAACATCAATTAAAAGCACTGCAAGCCCAAGCTCAGCTGAAGCCAAGAAGGGTGCAAGAGTGTACTGTGTTGGCGACCTTCTTGCTGGTTCTTTCTGGTTCCCTTCAACTTCAGGTGTGGTACAAACCTCTTTTAACCAGGCAGGCAGGGGAAACGAGAAAAAGAAGAACAATGCACATAAAAATAACCATATAGACATATACAGTATTACAATAATAAGCAGAAGAACAACAACAAGAACACAACAGCAACAACACCGACCACCACCACAAATCACCAAATCACCACCACAAATCACCACACGCAACACACAACAGCCGATGCCGTTTTTCGGAACCAAACCCGCTCCGACCGCCGCTCCGGCCGCTCCATTTGACAGCAGCGGCGTCATCTCACTGGATCGGGGCCTCCAGTGGCGGTGGTGAACGACGGGTGGCACGGGCGGTGGCGGTGATTTGGTGTCCTGGCCCAGGGCACTGAGGCTTCAACGCCAAAAACTGGACCTGGTGCCGCGGAAGACGCTGAGTTGCATAAGAGAAGCACAGAGTGTCGCCGAGCGCAAGAGTGGCGCCTTGTTGGCATACAAGAAGTGGGTCACAGCTGTGGCTGTTCCTTTGGACTCCTCATCCTGCAATCGACGAGTTGTGTCCCGCCGGACTCCTCACCTCTCTATGAAGCCAACATGAACTGCCTGTACAAACAGAGCTGTCATCTTGAGCCACTGGCGTTCTTGTCTGGATGCCAGCGCTTCAAATAGTCCCTGGCCAAGCGCCGACACGAAAATTCGACACAACACTTCTGGGCCGAACTGATGAGATCAAACCAGGGGCGGTCGGTGCCCAGGCCTCATGATCTGTTTCCTCTTCTTTTCTGGAGCATCCATGTTCTCCACCAGGTCCTCGCAGGTCACCAGGTGGACATGGCCAAGGATCCGCCCCAGGGATGAGGAGTTCCATTGAAAGCTGGTCAGAACGTGGCGACGACAACAACAACCAACAAGTAGTCCAAAAACATCACGAAGAAAACAAGGGTTGTCCTATCTATCGTATGCCTCCGCCAGTCGATACACGTGAGCACCTCCTCGTGCTCACCACGACCCATGTGACACCTCTGCTCTATACACTCTAAAGACGGCAGTCCCCTTTGCAAAGGCATGCCCATCTCGCCTGCTTGATGCGCTGAATGATGTCTGCTGCAGTCGCTGCGGCATCCACCTACGCCCACGGTTCTGAACCGGAACCCACGCAGCGAGGATCCAAAGCCATCCCCTCCAAATCGGGCGATAGCTAGAACACACCGTCGTCTGCCGCACTTCTGCCCACCAAAATTTGTTCTTCAAACAAAACGTCCATCTACAACGTCACGAAGACCTTCGCAGCGAGGCTTCGCAGCTTCGTTCCGCCCGTGTCTGTCGACAGAAATGGCCTGCGGCGGACTGTGGGCATCGCTGGGACTCCAGTCGAACTCCTCCTCCTGAGCCCGGTACGGACGACGGACGTCTCCACCGACGGAGATGATTCGATTTGGAATCAACATGAAGAGAGGTGAAGTGACCTGAACTAGGACCCTACCAGGGTACCTATGGGATAGCCTATAGGGTCTATAGGGTTCTCCAGGGTTCAGGTTGGCATGAACGAGATCACGAGAGGATGGGATGCCGCATCGATATCGCAAAGGCGCAAGCGGCGCTGCGATGGTGGCGATGGTGGCGATAAAGCCTGGTCTTCTTTCTTGAAGAAGAGATGGTTCGCAAGAAACCCACTGGAAGTCGCAAATGACCAAGTGGCCATTAAGAAATGCATTGAGGTTCAAAGGTCAGCCAAGGCTT